CAGCGCTGTTACTTTAACAGAAAATATATTAAAGTTAGTACTTAAAATATATTTATCTACCTTGCAAATAATTTTTCAAATATTTTAAGGTATATTCGTATGTTTTCTGAAATATTTTTGCAACAAAAAGGCTATTTTCTTACACACAGAGTCTAGGGTATTCCAAATAGCGTTACAATTACAACGCCGATAAATGTTCCTATAAATTTATTGCTTAAATAATCTGATGTCCTTTAATTCAATGATAAAAGTTACGTTGTTAATTTTTTAGCAAAGAAAATTACTTTCCATGAGTAATAAATTAGTAAGTATCAAAAAAGTTCAAAATTAGCTGCAGTAAATATTATGTTCCCACATTTTCGGAAGTTTTCATTAATAGTATAAGTTATAGAAAAAAAAAAGGAAACTTTGTCACACTCTTAAGAATATGTTTTTACGGAGTCAAATGTTTGATTTTACACGTTTCAAAATAGACCTGAAAATTTAAATAACCAGTAGCCAGTAGACTCTAATAACTCAGTAGCCACTTTTACCTCAAACCTAATGAGTCTGTGACCAATACCAATAGGTTCGATTCAGTTAATAGCCACTTTTTTTAGCTCGAGAATTAAATTATATTTTTCAAAAAAAAAAAAATTCCTATTGGAAATAATCTACGGCAATAAAAAGTTAATTCAACAATAAAAATAAGATAAATATGCGACAAAAATTTAGTTAAACATATGGATTTGACTTGGAAAAAAATATCGGCAAGAAAATTCGATGCGCAATTAAAAAATATCAAGAAGAAAAAGCGATGGGAAAAATGACCTGTTGTTTATTTAAGTCGCCACTTTTTATTTTCTTGACTCGCCGCGTGGCGAGTGGTTATTTTCGGTTCAAAATTCATTCTACTTCAAAACTAAATCACTTTGTCATTGGGAATCGATATTTATTTTATTAATATATCTGTGATTACTTAAAAAGAACAAGTTTTAAGGATTATTTTATTCATAATACATATTTTATTTATATTTTCCCCTTAAAGTTAATGACTAACTTCATGAAGGCAAACAAATATATAAAAATATTAAACTTGTGTAATCCACAACATAAACAGTTGGAAGTACACATAAAACGTAAACAAACGTAAATTTTAATTTTTGAAATAATACAATTTGCTGTAGTCAAACAAAAAGGTACTTGCAAGAGAAAGGTAATATAAAAGAAAATTTTGCACGAGCTTAATAATTTTTATTTTCTGTGTAAATTGATTACACACGCCATATTCTGTAGGATTCGATTATGCTAGACGATAAAATTAAATTGTCGACAGAATAAGTTTTTCTTTTTACTTTGTACCATAAGAAATAACTCAGAGAATCTGTAATGAGATTTATGAAAAACAAAAGAAACATTACCTAAAAGCGATGATAATAAAATTTTATAAAAATAAAAATGTCGCCCTAACGCTTTCTTGGTTTTGAAGCGACGATGGCTAAAATCTTTTATGCATTTTACGAACACTCTTATTAAATAATTCTTCACAGTATTAAGAATTCTTTATGCTATTCGAAAGTTTAAATGGAATAGTATTATGTGTAATGGAATATATGAACCCTTTTTGTCGTAATATGTAAAGCCTTTATGCTTATAATTAACTAATTTCAATAAATTTTGCGAAGTTAGGAATACAATACAAGTTAGGATTTTATTACAATAATCAGAATTGTCCTATAAAGAAGAATGTGTAAGTGCAGAAAGGCAAAGGAAAAATTAGGTGATGATGTCAATAAGAAATAATGGAAATATCAAGGAGTCATTAAAGTACTTGAAGTTATATGAATTTAAAGTAGTATTCAATAGTTTGAAATTATTTTTATTGTTGAACGTAAATTAACAGTGCTTTGTTTTTTAATCGTTTAGATGCATACTTTTGTAATGACTGATTTTGAAACATAAAGAGTGAATAAATTTGAGAGTAAATACTACGAAAAAAAACCTAAATATTGGGTCAGTTTCGTGGTACAGAGCTTTTAGTACCCGCTCCATACTGATCTGACGATGGCGTTCGAAAACAAATTGAAAAGTTTAATCGGTTTTCATCTTAAGAGAAGATTTGAGATATTCCTTTCTTCTCTTCTTGTTAGAAATGAACGATTTTGTGTAGAATTCAATTGTTTTAAAGCAAACTTTTTATTTTAAAAATATTTTACAACGCCGTACCGACGATATCTGGAGAAATACACATAGAATCCAAAAAGTTAGAACAATCACATTCAATATTTATTAAAAGCTATTCATTGTTAGAAAACACGATCTTTCACCCCACCCCCTGGAGGCGGTATGGGGAGCAACTTTATAAACTGTTATATTTTACTTCTGATATGGATTCTCCAGAAAAAATAACCCCATCTGAGTTTTAGGTTCAAGCATCTTGCTTATCAGTTGGCAGTGTAACCGAGAAAATTGAAAAAGGTACAAACTGTTTAAAAAGGTGGTAACTCGAAAGCCATCATATTGAAAATAAAAGTAAATAAAACTAAAAATATTGAGGTATTTTTTAGAGGAAAAAAATGAAAAAATCTATAAATTTCTTTTCAATGTGTCTATTTTTATCCTCTTAAATGAGAGAGAATCCAAATCTGCAATAAAAGGAGAATCCGAATCTGCAATAAAAAAATGGGGGTTTATTGTTAAGATTTCAAGAGATGCCCTCACCCCACTCTTAAGGGGTGGGATTGAATGATCGAGTTCTGTATATTTTGATAGCTTTTGAAAAATGTTGAATGTGTCTAGTTTAACTTTTTGATCCAATGTATATGTCTCGAGATATTTGACAGTTTTCAAATTTTTTTTTACACCCTGTTTAGTCTTTTCACTATACGTAGGCTAGACAGCATAACGTAGACATAATTTCTATCATAATAGTTTTTACCTTTCAGAAGTTAAGGGATGTCAGTCGAACTCGTGAGAGTAGTCAATATATGATGGACTTATTATGAAACAATCTCCATAATCATCTATTCAAAATTGAAATTTCGCATAATATATTAAGACATTATGTGAAATATCCATAATGTATTAAGACATTCTAAAATTAAAATTTTCATAATAGAGCGTTTATGTCAGTCTTATATTTATTAGTTTTAATATTTTTCTTCTAAATGTAGCTCTTAAATCATCAAAAATACGAAACCCAAAATTATTTACAGGAAATTTAAGTTTATATTACGCCATCAATATTCCCATTTTCAATCAGAATACATTTCACTAATGTGGTGATTGCTCCATCTGCCTAGCGTTGTCTATTTCGCATCTGATTTCAATCGCAGTTTGTGAATTGAACCCTAGACTATAATAGTTTGGTCCTTGCTAGGCTTTTACAGTAATTATCATTCTATTTTACGCCAAGAAAATGCCGCATAAAATTCTGTAACCAAATAAAAATTTACCATACTTATTTTGCAACGGAATTCAGATACGTTATGTATTTTGATTTCGGTTGTAAAGTTTAAATTTTTTTTAAATATATTTAAATTTAAAAATTTGTTCTACATTTAAAATTCTACAATTAAGAAAGAAAAAAGTCGTATTGTTTCAAACATGAAGTCTCATTGGTACAGCGGATAAACATACTACTACAGAGATACTAGATTCAGAACTCACGTTAACTACAGATGTATTTTAATGATTAAAGTCTGGCAAGACGTGAAAATGGGCGTATGTGTTTGAGCGCTTGAAACATGTCGATTATTAGTTCCAATTTGTATATTTTTGAAGCGAATGACGTTTTTATTCCAGTATTATCTTATCGCTTTAGTTTCTCGGGATTATACAGATGTACTTATTTTTATATGTTTCTTAATAATCTTGTTATCTATTTATTAGTAATTTTAAAATGTCTACCGTGTTTTTTTTTTTGAATAAATAATTGTTATAAATAATGTAGCAAATGATTAATTTGTTTAAAACAAAAAACTTACTTTGAATGGATCAGATGACAGTAGTGTCCGATTATCATAAAAAATAATCGAGAAATTTAAAAAATACGGAAAAAGGAGAATATTTAAATAGATATGATAAATAATAACACACAAATATTTATTTGGTCAATATTAGTTTCGAACCGATGTTTTTGTGGATAAGAGCTGCATATACTCCTTCTGTAGTAAGTGGAATTTTTATGCAGTGCAGGAATTTAATTTTTTTAAATAATATTGAACAAAAAAAATGGAATAACAATAATTATTTAAGTAATACACAGTAAGTAATACAATATATTAAGTAATACAGTTTTGTTGTTGTTAATATTAGTCTTATAATCATACTAAATAACAGGCACACTTATCCTTCGTACCACATGCTTAAAGTATTTTTTTTTTAAATGTAGAACAAGGTTTTTTTGAAAAAACCATATTGATCTACTTTTTTTAAAGAGCCATACTGATCCACTTTTTTTTAAAGAACCATATTGATCCACTTTTTGAAAGAAGCATACTGATCCGCTTCTTTGAAAGAACCATACTGATCCACTTTTTTTTAAAGAACTCTACTGATCCACTTTTTTGAAAGAACCACATTGATCCATTTTTTTTAAAGAACCATACGGATCCACTTTTTTTTGAAAGAACCATACTGATCGACTTTTTTTGAAAGAACCATACGGATCCACTTTTTTTGAAAGAATCATACTGATCGACTTTTTTTTGAAAGAACCATACTGATCCACTTTTTTTAAAGAACCCTACTGATCCACTTCTTTTTTAAAAGAATCACACTGATCCGCTTTTTTGAAAGAAACATACTAATTGCTTTTTTGAAGAACTATACTGATCTTTTCTTTCAGCATTGAACAATTCTGTTCACTTGAGTTGATAGGTTTTGAAGACATAGAAATTATGTTTAAGTGCAATAGAATTAAAGAAATAAATATTAAGAATGGTCCTTGCGAAAAACTGTATTATACTCACTACTTCTGCCCGTCAAGCACACAGGAGCAAGGTAAACTGACTGCTTACCTGAGGTTTGATTGGTTGTAACTCATCAATATGTTGGGGCAGATCCAGAGTGTTGTTGGCGCTGGGATTAACCACACCCGGTGCTATATCCACCACACTCGGCAAATTCTGAGCTTTGCCATCGTCTGCAGCCCCATTTGATAGTCTCTTGAAAGCATGATCGTGGTTACGGTAACATCCCGTGCCAGTTGTCGTAAACCGCGAAGAATCTTCCTCAACACTGCCCGTATCAACCTAAAACAATTATGTGGATGGATTTTATTTTGTAATAGCAATCAATGAGTATCACCTTTTAATTAGACGGGAGTTTGTAAACTTGAAAACATTAGTTATTCTAGAAGTCAGAGAAATTAGTATTTAAATTACCATTTTGTAATTAGTTTGCAGTACTAGCGCTTCTTATAACATTTTTTATTTTAACAGATCCTGGTAGAAATTCTTGGAAGCAAGGATATTTTTAATAATTTTCTTTTATGTTACACAAATTAAGGCTTGTTTCATTTCCAGAATTTGCATTTGTCTGAATTTCAATGAGTTTTTACCCTTCCCGATTTGGTTCATAACTGAAAGATCGTAATACATTTTAACCACAGATCTATTTTGTAAATAAGAGCTAATCTAAACGGCTAATTTAAAAAGAGACGAAATTATTAAAATGATATAAAAGTTCTAGTTTAAATTTATTTGTTACATTTATTGCAACAAAGCAGTTAAACCAGAATAATTAACAGTCGAGAAAAGTTTACTTATAAATTATGCCAGCAAATTTGAATTGTATCTATAATTTCTCAATTAGAAATGGAAAAAAAAATGTCCTAAATCAGAACAATTTATAAACTAGAGCAGGTTGCCTGTTAAAACCTCTGTTCTTATAGATAAGAACGCTTCTGGCTAATTAGGAAATATTTTATTATCACTCGTTAAAAGATAAGCATTTAAACAAAAAGAAGATGAAAATATGTGCTTTTATGAAAAATTATGATCAACTACTAAATAACATTTGCAATAAATTACCACGAAAATTTCAATATTAAAAGTTTCTTGTGAAATTGCACAATTTGCCTTAAGCCTTTATGTCAACGATTATTGTGTTTGTTCTAAGGAACTACCAGCAATTTTCCCATCGCATCATACGCATTCATGTACATATGTTCTGTGCACAGCAAAGCATACGTACATAAAAATATCAGATACAGACGGAGCTCATGCAAAACGCAAGTACGTGAATGAACGAGGTTCCATTGGGTACATATGAACAGTCCTGAAGTACTGGTAAATTCCGATTAAAATTACCTTACGATACATTAAGTTTTAAATAGTTAGATGGCAAGGGATAACTTTGATTGTAAATTTGAAAAAGTATCTTGTAGAAATCTCTCTCAAGTAGGTTATTGTTGACATGAGAGTTAAGTAAGTATATATATTGATCCTGCAAATAAATTTTTATGTAAGCCATAGCAATAAAAAATAAAATTGTATCTTACTTGGCTGACATTCCGCTGTGTATCCACCAGAACATCAATCAAATCCATGCTTTGAGCGAAAACATCTCGAAGATTCACATTGCCGAATGTCACAATACTGCCATTCCTTCGAGCTTTCTCGAATGCCTCTCTCCGTTTAATCGCCTTCTCTCGCCTCATCTGGTTCTTGTAGAATTCGGCAAAATTGTTCACTATAATGGGAATGGGCAGAGCGATGACAAGCACGCCGCATATGCAACACACCGTTCCTACCACTTTCCCCAATGGAGTGGTGGGACAAATGTCCCCATAACCTACTGTGGTCATGGTAATGCTAGCCCACCAAAATGTCTCTGGAATGCTCGTGTATCTAGTGTCTGGCTCGTCTTTCTCGGCAAAGTAAGCCAAACTTGAGAATATCATCACACCAATCGCCAGAAACAGCATAAGAAGTCCTAGCTCTTTATAGCTGTTACGTAGAGTGAAGCCCAAACTTTGTAAGCCAGTGGAATGTCGCGCCAGTTTCAGGATTCGCAAGATCCTCATGATTCTGAAGATCTGCACCACACGCCTGACATCTTGGAAGGACTCTGAGCTGTTGTTGGTTTCGATGAGGAACAATGATATGAAGTATGGGAGTATGGCTAATATGTCAATGACGTTCAATGCGCTTTTGAAGAACTTCCATTTATTGGGGGCTGATAGGAACCTTAGCAAATATTCCAGAGTAAACCACGTGATGCAGACGGCTTCGACAATACTCAGTTCAGGGTTATCGGTGGGGTTTCCTTTCTCGTCTTCTCCTTGCAGCGATGGCAGAGTGTTTAATGTCAATGCTACTGTTGATAGAACTATGAACAATACTGATATCACGCCAACAATCTGAAAAGATTATTTCATTTACTGGATGAACTTACTAACCAGAAAAAAAGCGAAAGAAAAAGAGAAGCAGAAAGAAGTAAAGAATGCAAAGAGTTTGAATTCAATTATCCTCTAACGTTTCAATTTCGTTTTTCATGATCGTAATTAGCTTGAATGAAATAATTTTATGTGTTTTTCTTTTACTTTTCTCTTTAAGGAGTGAAGCATGAAGTTACTTTTATTTTACTATATAAGGTTGCTTATTAAGTAGATGGCACTAATTTTTATTTGAACAAGATGAGAGCAATATTTTTTTTTATCAATATTTAAGATTTAAAAATTGAAAAATAAATGTCTTTTATGGAAAATTTTAATTTTGCAGTAAAAGTAGTAAAATTGAAACTATAAAGCATACTGAGAGCGAAAACCTGGATCTTTCAATACATTTTAGTCTAAATCTTAGTTATTTAATTTTTGTTCGTCAATACCTTATGCGTCAGAGATGTCGGTCATATTTCAATTCATGTACAATTAGTTAAAATTTTTTTGTTTAAACATAGAGGATCCTTAAATTTTGTTCATGTTAATTAAAAATTTAAGATTTTTGTTTTCTTTTTAAACAAAACGAGGTTCTTCTTGAATTTTTTTCGCTACTTTGAAACACATGCATTTGATAGTTACCATAGTTTCAGGTTTCAGACATGTAACCTTTCTTCTTAAATGTCAAATATGCGTGTATTTTTCTAAAAATTCATGCAGCAATGAAAAAAAACCATGTTTAATCACAAAAGAGTCAGATTTTATGCCTTTTTCCCCCTGTAATTTGTAACAAATGTCAATCATTTGAATGCTATTAAATAAAAATTAGTCAGAATTTCATTCCAGGTTAACTTTAGTACCCAATAATTACTCAAAATTATCAATCAGTTGAATGAGTTAAAAATTATCAATAGTTAAATTTCTCCAATATTATTAATAATTTAAAAATGAAAGTTAAAAATCTTCAAAAAAAAAAAAAAAAGGAATAAAAGAGACTACCAGAATTCTTTTTGCATTTAAGCTATTAAATAGCTCTCAGAACAAGCATATTCCTCAAAATAAACATTTAATAACAAGAAATACGCAAAAATTAAATCCTAAATTTAGTAAAGTATTCAACTCCTAGAAAATTTTTGTAGTAAAATATTTATACCTAATGGTTAACACAACATAACATAATAGTTGTATTTTATCACAAAGGTCGCCCACTTGTGTATTTATGTAATGGTTAAGCCATTAATCTATTAAAAGGTGCTTTTAACTGTTTCAATGTCTTACGTTTTAGAACACAAAAAAAGCTATCGTTTTTTATAATTTAAAAATTGCTGTTATATGTTTTAGTTCATTATGTTTTATAACTATGAAAAAAAAAGTTTTATTTCAAAAATGCAAAATAAATTTAAAAAGGATTGTAAAATAATAAATAGTTGTGTCTATTCTACAAAAAAATATTTAGCTAAGCCTTATTTTTAGTTTAAATGTATTCGAAATAGTCAAACGATCCTTTTTTAAATTTTCAAAAATATTAAAAATTTTCGCTTGCCTTCTTGGTAAAACATTTCTACTACTTCTCAGTAATAATTATAAATGGCGATTGCTAATGGTGCTTGCAAATCTATATTTGTTAAAACGTTAATAAACATTAAACGTCGAAGAGAAGTGCCTTTCGAGGAGAACATATTTTCTTCAGATTCTTTTAAAGTCGTAAAAAGATTTTGGAAGGCAGTAAAAAAATGCAATAGCATGAAATATTTGGAGGAAAGCTTTATTAATATTTTAAAAGCATTTTCGATCTCGCATATGGTTTTAAGGCCAGCACTTCCGATAACCATCAACACGTTTTTAATATCCTCGTGGTTGGGAGTTGGTGAAAAAATTAATAATCTGACGCGAAAGAAATAGCCTGTTTCATTTAACGCATCATATGAGATTAAAAAACTGAGGACCTTTTCGAGCTCTCTCATTCATCCTAATAGATATTTCCAACCATCCTAACATACTGGTATAACATACTTAGCTATCTCATGCATCCTAATAGATATTTTTATTTATTTTATATTTTATACCCCCGTCGTTGAGCAGCCGACCCAATTTTTTGATTTACGACTACTAATGTTCAACTCCGTAGCCTTGTAAATTTGAACCCAATCCGGAAGACAAGGGAACTCTTGAATCGAGTATTGGGAGAAATTTGCATTCGTAGAGGACTTTTTGATGGAACTAAACCGCATTTGCGTTACATGGAGAGGAAGACCACGAGAGCCTTCCACGGTTAGCCTAACGGCAAGGGGACTCTAATCCATGATCCGTCTACCACTGAGGATATTTCACGTCAGCACTGTGGTCGGTGTTAATCGGATGTGGAATTCATATTGATTAGCCATCGCCGGGATCGAATCCCGGTTCACCTCATTGGAAGGCGAACGCTCTATCCCCTGAGCCATCGCGGCTCTGTATTTTTATTTATTGTGAAATAATATTTAATATGGATCTATTTTGCAGATTAATACATATAATAAAAACATTTTCAATCTCAAAAGTGGTTTACAGGTTTAGCACTTCTGATAACCGCCTATGTTCTTTATAATATGCCGTCGTTAATATTGTTACGACTTTATAAATATGTGTATAATTTTGTGAATATTCTTTTGTTATGAGGCTAAATATCTCCGACGGACCCTAAATAATAAATGCAGTAAGAAAAATTGCAAGGAAATAGCATGATTCTAATACAATTTAGAGAGGAAATAACGTCTATTGTACTTTGTATGGAATGCTCAATTTCTCGACAATCTTAGTGACTCAACGATTATTTTGGCAACAAAATGATAGTTCAGGGAACTTTGAGTTTCAAAGCGAGTTTAAATATTTACTGATTTATACGAGAATCGTGTAGAATAATCTCGAAAGTTACGGGATTTTGTCTCTAAACACATATAAATTGGAGTGTGCCTCGTCATAGAGTAGTAGTTTGTGAAAGAGCAACGTGATTCTGATCAGGGCGAGATTAATCCGAAAATTTTTTAGTGTAGAAAGCAACCAGACACAAGTGGTAATAACCAGGACTGTCGGGTCTCAATTTTAACAGAGGTACACTTTTTTGATAATGAAGTTTATGATCATAACGTTATTCATTATGAATATTTTTTAATTCTTTCCATTTTTTGTAAATACTTTTCCTTCTTGTAATTTTCGTTTCCCTACTTGTAAATATGTCTTGTACTTTTCTATACATTCAATTATTTGTTACTTATTACCATGGCAAAGTGCCATTCTTTTTTCTCTTCCTTAACATGTGCCAGTATTTGTTGCATTTTATGTAATCTGTCTATTGTTTTTGCTTATGTTCTCATTACAGGATGAATGGAAAAAGGACCATTAATGGTCTCAGGAGCCCAGCTAGACCAAACAGATCAGACCAGACAGAGTAGTAGTTTGTTTGTGACTGCAGTATTGTATACTGACCTGAATTTACTTATTGACCCCTTCCAGGATTTGTAGCCTGTGTTTTGCTGTATTACGCAGTCGTTTGTGCTTTAACCGAGGGCTGTAAATTGATGAAATTACTGGAAGTTTCTACTAATAAGATTTTTGAAGTCTTAAGGACACTTTCATTTATCGCCAATAGAAAAATTGTTTTAAATTGTAATTGTTTCGCAGTGAGGTTAAAAATCTGATGATTCTACTGAATCTTTCCATCCATCCTAATAGATTGTTTCATCTATCATAATAAAATCGATGTAATCCTCTTGATCTGTCTCATTCATCCTAATGCATATCTTTATGTGGATGTCTCACCCTCTAATTGTTTTACATTGAGATTAAAAACCTGATGATTCTCTTGAACCTTCTCATCCGTCTTAATAAATATTTCCACTAATCAAACTAAAATCGATGTATCCTGATCTCCATCATCCATCTTAAATATCTTTATGTAATTGTTTTAAACTGTAATTTTTTCACAATGTGATAAAAACTTGAGATCATTCTTACTTTTCCCATTCATCCTAATATAAATTTCCCTCTATCATAACAAATTTGTTGTATTCTCCTGATCTCTCTTTACCATCCTAATAGATATCTTTATGTACGAAATAATGTTTTACACAGAGAATTAGTTCACACATTCTTACAAAGATTTGTGTGATATCTCAAATTGCATTTAGCCTGAAATTTCAGGCTCAAAGTGGGAGAGTTCTAAAAAAATAAAAAAATCTCAATTTTGAATTTTTTGTAACTTGAGTTTTCTATAGCAAGGCAGAATGAAAGCCGGAAAATAATTTGTTTTAATTGTATTTTTATATTAAAAATTTAACGATATATGTATTTTGTTACAATCGGTGCTGAATGGAAGCAAAATTTAAAAATTAATATCATGAGCCATATGTTTTTTTTTGCTGAATCAATAAGAGTGTTTTAAATTTAATAATCAATTCAAAAATTTACAAATGCGCTCAGAAAACAGCTATTCATATGAAAATTTATAAATGCTTATAATTTTGGACAGTAACAATGTTTACGATACTTCTTTAGAATAAAATAAATTAAAATCGATATCTCACAAGATGTGATGCAACAAGGACCAAAATATGTTGAATAAAGTGAATACTTCAAAATAGTTAATACTTTAAAATGTTGAATAATATCAGGTTACAATGATGTTTGTTAATGGAATAAGGATCATTAGCAGCATACAATGCATTAAAAATTTAAGTCTCTTTTCAGAAACAGGAAGGAAGTATAAAGGACATATTAGTTTGTCAGTAATTCAATACAAGATGTAACATTTTGCTCAAGTCATTCATTATTGATTCATGTCAAAACGTCTTATACTTAATGATTCAGAACTTGAAGGGAAAAAAAAAGAACCGATTGACAAAAGATAGTTCTGTTTTCGATTGATATCGATTAATACTTAAGTTTTAAAAGAGATGACAGGTAAAAAATGAATAAATAAAAAAAAAAAACTAAAATAATTGATG